GGAGAGAGCGGCGTGACATGTAATTAGCGAGAGCCGGAGGTGGCAGCCCGGGGGGCTGCGGAGCTATTAGGAGGTGGCTGACACCTCGGCGTGTTTATTGATCGCTGGAGGAAAGGGGAATAACTTGAGGGGCCGCTCATAATGATCGTTATTGCACTCCTTTAAAAAAAAAAAAAAAGGAAAAAAAAGCGTTGAGCTGCTGCCTGTGGGAGAGCGCTGAATCTGCGGGGTGAGGAGGGAGGATGAAGGCAGCCGGGGGGCAAACCGCGGGGGTTCGGGCTGCGGGAGCGGCCCCGCATAGGGCGGGGGGGGGGGGGGGGGGGGGGGGGGGGATGGGAGGGCTGAATGCGGAGCACTTTCCTTCTGTTGAGGTGCTGATCGTTTTTCGTTTCTTTCTTTATTTTTTTTTTTCTCCTCCTCTGCACCCAGGGAAAAGTTTGAAGACTCTTATGTCCAAAGGAATCTTACAGGTACATCCTCCAATCTGTGATTGCCCTGGGTGTCGAATTTCGTCTCCAGTGGTAAGACGATTGTTCAACTATGTGCTTTAGTTAAGACATCTCCCCTCTCCTCCACCTCCCACCCTCCCATCCCAACCTTCTCTGCCTCTGTGATCGCGGTTCTGATCCCACGGCCGGCAGGTGGGGGAGCCGGGCTGAAGGATGCACTGCAGCTGTGCTCCATGGGCACAGCATTGAGCAGCTCCTTCCTTCTTCTCCTCTGTTTGGTAGAGGTGCAGAACGGCTGAATGAAGCGTTACGGCCGCACCCATGTGTTGGAGGCAGCCGGGCTTTGGGAGCTGTTAATGATTTTTTATAGTTAAGCTGAGCGGGGAACAAACTCATCTTAAGCACTCACTGCTTCTACAGCGTTTGTTTCATAGGTGGCAATCAGTGTATTTGTAGATCTTCACCCAGGTTTGGGTTCCTTGGGTTTTCTGATTTTGTGCTGTCCACATTTTCCTTGAGAAAGATGTTGGAGCGATCAATGGACTCAAGTAGAGCATGAAAGGCATTTTGTCACATCCAGAAATAACTATAAGACCAGAAATAACCATAACATCAGAACTAGACTGCAAAGCCATGCTCATGCAACTCCAACGGGTCTTGGGCTGGGAAGTGACTCAGAGCACTGCTGTCAGTGGAGACCCTTCTTTTAATCCACTGAAATTAGCTGTTGTTTCGTCTGTTGTTTCTATGTGATCTGATGGTCTTTCATACACATGGAGCATCTTCACGGTGCTGAATGATGGAACCGCAGCTGTAAATGATTTCTGTGTGATACTGATGTGCATCCATATTGCTATAAATGTATACAGGTGCACACATGGATGTGGAAAAGGGCTTAGAGCAACAACCCCCCATTCCATCAGCTCACACAGGGACCCGTCCACAGCAGCACTGCTTGCTCCCACAGCCGTTCATGCAGGATTTGTGCCGTTGCTCTGAGCGTGTGGGGCAGGGCGTGATGCTGCGTGCGGACGGAGCTCACTGCAGTGTGGAGTCGGGTGTGTGACAGCTTCGGGCCGAAATGCCACCTCGTGCGTTCCCAGCGGGAGCGCTGTCGATAGCCATGCGGGGATGCCGTGCGCGCACGGGGGGGAGGCAGCTGCGCGTGGAACAAAGGCTGTATTAAAAGCGGCTCTAAAATAGAACCGAATCTGAGAAGTTCAGACAGAGGAAAAGAGGGGCGGCGTTGTTTTGGGAAAGGAGAAACGGATCCTTCTGCGCTCGCCTCCTCGCGCTCCCCGCCGGGCGCTTTGTGGGAGGGGGGCGGTGGGGAGGAACCCCCTGGAGAGCCGCCTTCCGATCCGCGTCTCCCGGTGCGCGCCGCGTCTCCCGGTGACCGACGGCCGTCCGCGCTTCGGACGTGCTGGCAGCCGAGCCGGCCCGGCCGTTCCTCCCCGCCGCATCGCGTTTCCGCCGCCGCCGCCCCGGAGCACCGCGGGGCCTTCCGCCGCCGCCCCCCTCCGTTGGGCCCCCGGCCGAGCTCTGCCCCCGCTCCCCGCCGCGGCCCCGAGCCCGGCCCCGCCGCCCGCAGCCCGGCCTGGCGCCGCGCNNCCCCGCCCGCCGCCCCCCCGGGGCCTCGGGGCCGGCAGTGCCTGGGGCTCCCCCGCCGCGGCCGGGGAAAGCGGCGCCCGGCCCCCGCCGCGCCCGGCCCCGCCGCCCCGTCGCAGCTCGTTTGCTGCAGCTGCAGACGGCGGCCGGCGCCGGGGCTCCGCCACCGACCGCCGGTTTCCTGCGAGGCGGAGGGGGAGCAGCCGCGGCGCGTCGGCTTCGCTGGCGCCTCCGAGCCCCGGGCAGCGACCGCCCCCGCGCCGGCGTCCGTCAGTCCGTGTGTCCGTCCTTCAACCCCCCATTGCTTCAGTCTGTTCATCCGTTCCTCCCGCTCTCCATCTGTCCATCCACTCATGCATGCCTTCTTCCATCCGTCCCCTCCACCCATCCGTCTTATCTGTCTCTCCATCTTTCTATGCATCCCTCCCTCCCTCCTTCTGTCCATCCATCCATGTGTCCATCCTTCTACCTGTCCATCCCTCCCGCCCTCTGTCTGTCCCTCCATGCATCCGTTCTTCCACCCATTCCTCCCTCCCTCCATCCCTCTCTCCATCCCTCTCTCCATCCCTCTCTCCATCCCTCTCTCCATCCCTCTCTCCATCCCTCTTTCCATCCGTCCATCCTTCCCTCCATCCATCTATCCATGTGTCCACCCCTCCATCTATCCATCCCTCCCTCCCTCTGTTTGTCCATCTGTCCATCCGACTGATTTTCCCATTCTTTCTCCTCCCCCCAAGCCTTAAACCGGAGGTTTTCCAGATCTAGGTGGACAAGCCATACTCTCAGTCCCTACATTTTTTAGAGACACAGGGGGGCAAGCAGTGTGAGCTGCAAGCAGGAGTCTCCTCATGCCTGCATGTGTCAGCTGCAGGCTGGCACAGTTCACCCTGTTCACCCTTTGCCTACAGCCCTGGGTGGGTTCCAACCCAGATTTGCTGGTGATGTTCCCCATGTTGGAGCAGGACCCTCACTGTGTGCTTCATGCTAGTTGTGCTGCCTCTGGATGTGAGCTGGGACCACCATTGGCTTCTCCTCATCCTTTCCATGGCAGGGTTCCTTGGGGGATGTCCATGCTGCGGTCTGGGGCTCAGCTCACAGGTGAGGAAGGAAGCTTGTAGAAAGCTGTCAGGCACGGCTGCATTCAAGCAAAAGAAAAAGCACTTTTTTTTTTTTTTCCTCCATCTTCTTCGTTGCGTGTCAGGACACATGGTAATTGTGCAGAACTTGGCCAGGGACTGCACTCATTTGTTTGGTTACTGGGGTGGCATTTTGCTGGTGAGTTGATTTATATGTGATCCTTGTTGTTTGTTCTGTTGGTGCTGTTTTCTACTGCTGCCCCCCCCGGAGTGAAGGCGTTGGTCCACAGCTTTGCCTGGGGGGCTCAACACTGAGCTGAACGGGGCCACAAAGAGGGGCAGTGGGACCCTCATCCTGAATCCAGGACCTCAGAGCCAGCAGTCCTGCAGGACTGCCCTGTGCAGAGGGGACTTTGCCCACTGCTGCACAGCAAAGCTGGCTGCTGCAGACACAGGGTTCAGTCTGTTCAGCAGGATGGGATGTGGGTGCCTTTCCGAGCTGCTCCAGCCTCTGGGATTGGAGCTGGAGGGCTGTGGGGTCTGTGCTCACAGCTCTGCCTTCTCTGGGGGCCGCCTTATGGATGTGCAGAAAGCTTTTCTGTAAAGCAGACTTGTAAAAGTTCTCATCCCTACGAGCTCTTTGTTGATTTATTATTATTTTTGTTAGTTTCATGCAGGTTAGGATCATTGCTGTTAACCCAGCTGTGTTTATTGGGGGCTGCCTTTTCTTTCCAGATAGGCTCTGCTCAGGTGTGTTGGGCTGTGCACCTCCAAGTTGGACATCTTAATAAAAGCCTGTCCCAAACCTGAGTGCTGGCAGTGGGGCAGGAGGCACTGCTGGAGGCATTCTGCCCACCCAGCAAGGCATTGTTGTGCACAGGGATCCATTTGGTGGGTTATTAAGCAGCCTCTGGAAAGGGAAATGTTAATTGGATCGCAGCGAGTGAACAGCAGAGATGCAGGAGGAGATTGGGGCAATAATGCTGTCTTGCTGTGGAGCTCCAGGTTCTAGGATTGCTAACCCACCTGCTGCTGTAGGGATGTCAGTGCTGTGCTGAGCTGCTTCCCTGTGCTCCACAAGTCCATCAGCCTGGGGAGAAAGAAAGTGATGCAAGGTAGCTAAATAAATATATAAAAGCAGCAAAAGCAGCATCGTCTTGTTAGCAGCGTGTCAAGGGCAGTGTAAAGGTGAGATAGGATAAGTAATTTTGCTGTCAAAATTATTTAGAGATGTCATTAAACTGCTTAGGGCTGTCTCTGCTGCTTCAGGGCACAGACGCCTGGTTTTAATTTGCAGTGGTCTGCATCCAAACCTGCTGGCCTCATTCAGAGGGATCAGTGCTAATTTGGAGCCTGGTGGCAAATGCCTTCAGTGAACACGGGATCCAAATGGCAGAGGTGAGCAGAGGAGCAGAATTAACTCCCTGATAAACTCTCTTGGTTTTCCTTTCTGGAGGTTTCCAGCTGCCAAGTAGTTCACGTTGGTGAGGCTGATGAACTTCTCAGGTCGTTGGAGAGCATCAGAGAGGTCGCTTCTGCCTCAGACATTGGGAAAGAGCACTTGTGGTGGAGCAGTGCTTGCTCAGGATTTCATGCTTGTAAAATCACTTTTTCCCCCTTTTCTCTCTCTGTCCCTATTCCTTCTGGATTGCCTTGCTCTGTTTCCCTCTTGCACTGTCCCTTTATCTGGAGAGCTTCTTGCTGTGCAGCAGATGCTGTGCTGACACTGGGGCATCTCTGCCTTCCCTGAGATCAACATACATCACCTCCACAGTGCCAACACTCTTCTCACCACCTCCGGGCCCTTTTCCATTTGGAGATGCTCACCCTCCTCACTGCTGGTAGATGGCAGTGGAAAGCTCATCATCAAGCTTCACAGCCCAACTTTGTGCTAAGGGCAATGAAAGACATCCCCCAAAGGGTTATTTGTGGTTACAGGTCTGTAAGGAGGATGGAGAGCATCCTCCAGCTCCCCTGCTTTGCTCTCATTCTGCTCCTGTCTGAAGGTAAATCTTCTGTATGTACAGCCTCCACTGCTGGGGTAATGCATTTCCTTTCTTTTATTTTTGGCTCTGTTATTAAAAAAAGAAACACAACAAAACAGTGAAAAGGGAGAGGAAATTGCACATTCCCCTGGGTCGTAAATACAGTCTGATGGAGGGTTTTGTTGTAACCTGTCTGAGGAGCAGGAGGGATGGAAGAAGAGAATTCCTAAGCATGGGAGGAAAGGTTCTGCTTATTGCAGCCTTGCTCCGTAGCTGTAAAGTGATGGGCAGGTGAGGTTTCTTACACTGTGCCAATCAGTTGGGAAGGGAGAACGTTTCTTGAGTCATTTCCAGGTAATTCAGAAGCAGGAAAGCTTTGGAGCTGTTGATGATAGAAGAGGGA